ATTTGCCGTTCTATTCCCTGTCGCAATTCGATCTGCGTGTTGTCAATTTTCGCAAATTTTCTTTTTTTTGCCGGGGATCTCCTGGCAAACGCCCACCCCTTCTTTTTGGCAATTTTCCATGTTCAGGACCCTGGGCTTATACCTGAATAAATACGGTAATATCTATTTACCAAGTTTCATTGAAATGTGATTAGAACAAAAAAACTATGAATTATTATTAGAGAATTAATATGAACAAATTTCAACCCAAAATTAATCAGGCCTGTCTATTGTTCTAGAGCATTTATGTACCAATTTTTATTCAAATGTGATGATCAGTAATTGAGATATCAGTGTTAATTAATTATTTTAATTAGGTGATTAATAAGCATAAATATTTACCAAAAACTAATTGGGTCACTGCATAGTCCTAGGTTCATTGAAATGTGATGATGAATACTCTATAAAAGTTTCATTAAAATCCAATCAGTGGTTCTTTATATATCAGTGAAACATTAATGGCAAAATTAAATAATTATGCAAATTAGGTAATTAATATCCACAATTATTTACCCTAAAACTAATCAGGTCTCTGCATAGTCCTAGAGGTTCTATGTAGCAAGTTGAAATATGATGATCAGTACTTCAGTTATCAGGTGAAAAGCTGAAAATTAACTATCAGGTCTGTGCAGTGTCCTATGACATCTATGTACCAAGTTTTATTGAAATGTGATGATTACTACTTGAAATATCAAAAGAGGAAAATTAATTAATTATGCAAATTAGGTAATTAATATGTACTGGCATTACACTAAAAACTGTGCAGTGTCCTATGACACATATGTACCAAGTTTTATTGAAATGTGATGATTACTACTTGAAATATCAAAAGCTGAAAATTAATTAATTATGCAAATTAGGTAATTAATATGTACTGATATTACCCTAACAACTATCATATGTACAACTCATTGTACTAAATCTGAACAAAATCCACACACGCACACACGGACGCACACAGGGCAAAACATAAGTCCCCGTTTTCGGACTACGTCCGAACGGGGACTAACAAGCCATGCATGGCACAGTCCCCGTTAGTTATCAAATTTGAGATATATAGTTATGTTTATAGTAATATAGCTGGAATATAACCATGTCAGGAATATGATTTTTTTAATATTAAAATGATTGACATTTGTATCTGATCCTCAAACAAGTACTTGTCCATATTGAGAGATATTGCTCTGGAACAGCATTCAAAATCAGCCATTTTGAATACATGTTATATATATATATATAACATGATGTATAACGAATATATAAAATTTGAATATAATCAGTCAAAGTATTTAAGAGATATGGCTCTAGAAGCCCAATCATTAAAACAAAATGGCCGCCAGTCAGCTATTTTGAATCCAATCTGAAAATAAAATGACATGCATCAGGAACCTGTAATGTCTAACGTGTGTTATAAGTTTGAACAAAATCCATCCATAAATGCAAGAAATGCTTGATATTCGAGGATTTTTTTAGCACAAAAATAGCACACTTTGAAAAAGATATCAAACCAATATATCCGTATATCTGTGACATGATGTATAATGAATATTAAAAATTTGAACATAATCAGACAAAACAAGTCAGACATATGGGTCTGGAAACCCATTCATTAAAACAAAATGGCCGCCAGACAGCCATTTTGAATCTGATCTGAAAAATAAAATGACGTGCATCAGGAACCCGTAATGTCTAATGTATGTACCAAGTTTGAACGAAATCCATCCATAAATGCCAGAAATGCTTGATATTTGA